GTATGACTCCGCCCCCTGTGAGCAAAAGGTGTGAATCAGGACCCCAATGATACCAACACAAAGAGGGAAAGAGGGACTAAAACAAGGGGACGTTGAACCCCCGCATGCATTCACTACATACACATGACATGACACGGGTCAGGTGATGGGGCACATGACCCTCTATGAACAATAGAGCTAATCAAGCCTATTGTTAGGCGATGGCCCTCTTTTGCATGTGACTAAATGGAGCTAATCAAGCCTATTGTTAGGCGATGGCCCTCTTTTGCATGTGATTAACCTGTTTGTCCAGGTGGAGGCAGTGCTTATAAGGCTGAGTTCACCTGAAACTCATCAGACTGAAGAAGTCTCTTGGAGGAGATACGAAACGTTTCACTAAAGAAGAACCCATCCAGAGGACCTACTTATTTTTCTTYTTGGTTGACAAGGTGCTTTACAGCCAGACAACATAAAAAGAAAATAAAGCAAAAGCAAGAACAGAAGAATTAAAGGCTCAGAATTTGTTGAGGAAATGCACATCACCCACTGCCTCATCTTATGATGAAAAGGGGCGGAGTTGTAGCTGGTTTGGACAAACCTCAAGTTATGAGCAGTGGTGCCTCCAAAAATATTTTAATGGGTAGGGACAACTGAAAATCCTGGGGTTCCCCCAAAACAAGTTTTTAGGAGTGGCCATCTTGTAGCTCTGTGAGMTAATTTTAGAAACAATATATTTATTTAAATAACACTTTTAAAAACATTAGTGTTGACCAAATACAATTATGCTTTACCATCAGAAACACTTAATACTTGATACTGTAACTGAAGATAAATTTTTGCTAACTCATTCCTCCTGTGCTGTCTATTTTGTGCGAGGCTTTTGTTGTTGTTAATTCCTTTATTTTTAGGAATAGTAAATACATTGCAGTGGCATTTACTCTTCACTTGAACTTTGTATATATATTTCTTAGTACAGGCTGTTTAAGTAGCTCATCATGTGCCGCATAATCACCACTGCAGCTTCTGACTGGTGTTTCTCTGGTTTCATCTGACTGCAGCTCAGGCTGTTTCTCCTGAGATTAGCTTGGTGCATGTATCAATTTCCAAGTTTTTGAACTCTCAAACCTTTCAGTTCCTCTGGTAATTCTTCTCTTTGTGGAGAAGCGGTGCAGTCATGCAGAGGAACTCATCTGCCTCCCCGGTC